CATTGTATCGTAGAATATAGATGACCAACAAACACACGACATATCTCATCAACCAAGTATAGAAACAGAGTAATTTACACCAAAGATAATAACATTCAAATAGTAACTTGAAACTAGAAATGCCTTTATTCGTGCAAGTCAATTTAACAATAACTCTCTCCTTTACACTTGGCTTATCCACACTAAACTGACCATTGATATTCGTCCTTTCAAACGAACTGATACTACCATAGTCATTGCACAAGATACTTGAGTTGATGGGCATCTGTTTCATTGTGGATGACAGCACCAACGATGACTGAGTGACACAAGGTGATGAACTTAGCGGTGGATCAGAAGCTGTTCTTTTTCGGCTTTCAGATAGTTGTCCAACTGCAAGATTACCACCACTGCTGTCTTTCACTACTAGTTCGGGTTTAGCACTATCATCTGATGATAGGTGGGCTACACGCTGATCAATTACACTGACTGTCTCACAAGTATGCACACCTTCTGGAACTGCATCTGCGTTCAATTCTACTTCACGTTGTAGTTGTACAGAACCTTTATTTAACTTAGCAGTAGTAGGCATATCCCTCATCTCATCATGATCAACCAAAGACAACTGTGAAGTATCATGATCATTATCACGAATATTCAATTTACCATCAACTTCATCATTTTCAAACTCTTTAATAACAGAAGTAGACAATTTTGGTTCCTCCTCAAAAATCATTAAAGGTTTTATAACTTCACTCTGACTAGATATACTTTGTAAACTTGTGGAGTCAGAACTGCACTCTGAAGCAGTAACTCTATTCTGTGACACTCTATTCAACAACGGCTTACCAGTTGCAACTACAGACTTCTTCACAACACCGTTATCGTCACACAATTCGGAGTCAGACCTGGAGTTTACATTTAGCTTATCACTGAACTTGCTCACCGGTTCACAGTTCACTTCTGTATGCACCTCTTGCACACGTGTCAAGCACAACCGTGTTTGTCTTGCATCTTGTAACTTATCTGTTGAGGATGTACTACGAAACCTGTTACACTCACTAGGTCTATATGCATTACTAGACATCATGGAGCTTTCTCGATATCCACCTCTCTGAGGCCTACTCGTCATCAATGATTGCATTTTGATCTCAGACTGCTCTATTCTAGGGGTGAGATCTAATAGACTGGCGAACTTGCTCATAGATTGATTGACACTAGTATTTACCAGTTTCAGGATATCATCAAACTTTGGCTCGATACCCTCATCCTCCATACGGGAGCTTATCTTCACCCACTTCCTTTGCAGTCGAGTAGGTAGACGTCTTGCTATTACTTCTAGTATAAAACTCGAGTTGAGGTCACTCATTCGATTCATCGAAATCATTCCATTCTTGTAAATTAGCAAATTATCTAAAAACTCAGTGAGTGCCTGGGAGTCATCCTGTAATTGACCACCATTACCCTCAACAGCCTCGAATAATTTCCCTGCAATCATCGAAGGTCTTCCAAACCTTTGACGTAATATGCTCATAGCCTCATCGTAGCCCTCTTTTGGCTTCATAAACTTACAGCACTGTATAGCTCTTGCAGCATCTCCAGTGCAATATCTCATCAAATACATTAACTTCAATTCATCATTTAATAGAAAACCACTCAACATGATCTCAAACTCCTTTACAAATTGTAAATAATCAGCCGGGTTTCCATCAAAACACCGTGGTTCAAATTTAGGGAGTTTGATGTTCCTATTATCCCTGAACGGCGAAACAGTAACATCAACCATGTCATGCTTAACATCAGACACATCGTTACAATTAACAGACAAGTCACCATGACTTACTTTCCTGTTTGCATCCAAGACACTCTGTCCCTTCTTTGACCCAGGCATTGTTGAACTTGACCCAATTCCAAAAACGTTCCAGATATTGCTTGTTCAAAGAGGACTTGACCGGCACCAGGAAAATGAACGGCGACTATCCAAACTTTCACCAACTGTTTGAATCCGCCAGATCTGTTTCTATCGTCAGAAACTGTCAGTCACGTCTCATAAACCGTTAATGCCCAGCTCTCGCTACGCTCGGGCCCACGCTGTTCCTTGGAGTTTCAGAAACGCTTAGTTATAACGGACGCAAAAACCAAAACACCGATCTGCCGCTTGTTATTTCTTTATTGTTACACCAACATATAAAAGGAATAAACGAACTAAGCAAACTAAGGTCTGAAAACAAATATTACAATAATAAATCATTGTTACTTCTGACGATGTTTTACTCTTCTTTCTGAACAGCGACCGATGAGACGATGACTGTCGTATTGATGCCTCCGCGAAAATCGGGGAAGTTGATTTTGAGCAAACAACCAAGAATTGATCGTTCAATCTTCAACTCCATTGACAATATTCTTAATTTTGATTGACTGGATAATATGTCAGATTGTGGAAAACGAGGAGACGGGAATAGGCTGAAACCATACGAATAGTTTTGAAGATCTGGACTTTGCGGGTGATGAATGTCCCATTTCAAACCGACTCTATGTCTTACAAGCGAAAACCGCAAAGTGATCAATAACCAGCAAGGACAAGACTTCAAATGAACATGGGCTTGGATGGAGGTGGTAAAGATATTTAACAAACAACACCAAGCACCGATAGTCATCGGAGGAGGAAGGTCGAGTGTGGTAACTTCCTTTACTCACTTAGAAATCATTATTTTGTTTACAGGTATGTGGCTACCGAAATCAGTATCAGAGAAGAAAGACAAACCTAGATTAATCTGAAATCGGTGTGGAAATCCGCTGCACCCAGAATAAAGAATAGAATTCGATTCTCAGCAAATAATCAGGTCAGTTATCTTATATGGTTCAGGGAATTGATGCATCACCTAAAGCATCTCTAACAGGCTGCAGACTTTGAGCAATAGACCCTTTCGTTCCAGAAAGGACTGGCAAAAGCTAACTCTACAACGAATCAATCAAGAAGGTACTGCCTAAAAATTTGTCGAAGGACGTGGAAATAGACCAGATACATATTAAGAAACCCGTTGAATTATACGGCAGATTGGGCTTTCAGGTGGAACCCTAGTGAGAAGGAGCGAGTGGGGTTTTGACAGCAACATGGAGGAGATGGTGTGAGGAGAAGATGAAGGCTTTTGGTCAACCATTGGGACAGCTAATGGGGACCGCAGAGAATAGGACAAAATGAGAATAAGCTGTTGAAGCCATATGTTACACTGGAAATTCGAGAGAATAATGTCTTATGCATATATATATATATATATATATATAGGGAGCTGCTAGTGAGTCCCACCAACACGTTAACGCTGAATCGGATACTGGGTGAGGACTTAGTATTCAAACCAGTTGTCCGGTTCCGATGAGACCAGCTTGCTATCCTTTTTGATTCAGGTTCCCTTAGGGCGCTTGTGTGACCCTGGTTGCTGACTTCTTTACAGTTACACCCCCTTACTGTAACGGAGATGTGAGGACTCATTGTGGTTTATATCGAATATATCACATAACGAAACTAAGCTACTTTTTTAAATGCAATTTACTATTCGTCATCAGATAAATTGTAGTAAACCAACTTCTTGAATTAATATGAAATTAAAATCTGCCCCAATGGCCAATTCGTATTAATAAGTTAATTCCTATTATTGTCTTTTATTTTGTTACAGGTTGAGTAAATAAACTCTCTATCATAGGAGGCTCCAAAATACCTATCATATTTAGTAGAACTGAAGTGCTGCACAGAAGTGTCTTCAAATTGTCGCAAACTTGTAGAAAAAGAATTTTATTTTTCTATATTGAATATTAGTAACGCGCGCTTCAAACGAACCGTGCGCTACTCCAGAAGACAAGATTTGTCTATAATGGCATTATTATTTTACCGTGCATGGTTGCATGTGTAAATGGAATGCTATTGTACTCCATCTATAGACAACTGTGGTGCGAATCGGAGAAAGAAATGTCATCGAACTGCTTCTCACTGCCTATTGTCACTGAGATGGGAAAATGAGTCGAATAGATATGTAGAACATATCCAGGATTGTTGGTCTTGGTCACCTGATGTAAATTTATCATTTAGTTGACGTATTTTAAGGATCCGGAATGTCCCAGCGAGCCTGGTGTCTGCTATCTTTTGTCAAAGTCCACGGAGAAGTTCACAACATGCTGTTGCAAAGGCCCTCTTTGTAATGGTATTCACAATAATACAATTATTTCCCCACCAAGTAAGCTGAATTTTTATTCTGAAAATTAAATATGTTAAGGATTTTATCAATAAGATCAGTATCTGAATGTTAAAATGATAGTCTCTTACCATATTAAGGTTTTTTTCGTTTTTAATTACTTCAGCTGTCTCACTCCTCCATATAAAATTATTTTGCAATATGAAAAATACGACTGAACATCCCCACATAAGTTGATGAAAACTAGTAATTTTAGGAAGGTATTGAATCATAAAAGAAAGAAGTATATGGTCCTAATTGTAGAAGAGTTTAAGTACTTGTCTGGGCCCCATGGTTTACAACCTCTGTGGTGAAAAGTCTGTTATTAGGCTAAATGGCGACAAAATAAAGTCTCATTCAAGTTTTGTTCTCATAAAGAGTTCATCATTGTCTGAGTTAAACTTGAGTTCAGTTTTAATCTCAATTCGCATGTATTTTATCACTTCAATCTCAGTAGTCGAAAACAAGAGGTATTAATATAGGTTAATATGCAGCTACTCTACACCCTACTTTGATTGTTTGCCATTCAGTGAACGAAGTACTGATCACACATTGCTCTCTGAAATTATTGTCCATATGGAAACTGTTCTCCTGAATAACCATATTCTCGGTAAATTATATGCGAGTTTAATTTTGTTCATCTATCTTCTATTTTATAGATCAATTCAACAAGTCTCTGATCACAACAGGTCTACCCCATTTTCAAGCACTCCATCACCCAGTCTTCATGTCCAACACAAAGATATCTCCCTTGCTTTGATAATCACTATTCCAATAATTGCTGGCTTAATTTTGATGTTAACATTTGCTTGCATAGTCTTTTATTTACCTCGTTATCGTGTTTGTCGTTTAAAGCAGGTAAGTGATGTTAAATTAGTTGATCTGTTGTATAACTTTTAGAGCATGAGATTTCCAAGGAAGCAAAAAACTTGTTCACATTGTAAAAAATCATCCAGTTTAACGTTTAATCCTTTCCACGGTCTCTCTGTGTGTACATGTGGTCATTCTGTCAAAGATGTCATTTCTGATGAGTCAGTTGCACAAAATGATTATTTCGGTTTGAATAAGATGTCTAAAAATCCGATTACTGGTCTCCAATGGTTATCGAATGAGTGTGTTGAGGTGAGTTCATTTTTCAGAAGTCTGATATTTATCTGTAGTATCGTATTGATTTCACCCTTGTATTAAATCACTAAAGTTTTGCGGTTAGAGGTGATTTGGAGAAGACATGACACCAGTTCATGAAGTGTGTCAATGTTGGTTTAACTCCTGAAGGGAGGTACGGTGCACACCTCTAGGGCCTACAGTATACTGGTAATCTCAGTGACATGGCTTAAAACCTTTTGTACCAACTTAAATGCTTCTGCACATTATGCCTGGAATTCTGGACAAACCTGAACTTCATTAATTTATTTTCCCATGAATATTTGTTATTTTAGTGTCATTATCCTTCTGTTCTCTCCTTTCTAAGTGCTATTTTAGTGTGACCACTTGAACTGATTCACTTATATGTGAAGTTCGACGTTAGTTCACCAACCTATTTTTTAGAATTTTATTCTTTTCTTTCCCGGGTGGAACATAAAGTTTCAAGCTTAAGCTTTGAAGTTTCAGTAGCGATGATGTATTTTTACGGGTTGGGTTTGCTAACCTCATACCTAACCTTGCCTCCTTCTCAGGCTTGCAACCCTCTAGGAGAAGTAAAAGTATTCGCCGGCAGGGAATCGAACGCCGGACCACGTTCATGGTTAGTGGGCATCCTACCTCTGAACCACCGGCGCCAGTCACTACATAGTCTACACTTATTCTGCAGTCTATCAATCAATTTAAAGCACAAATATATTTATTGAAATCTAACTTCTTTGTAAAGTAAGAACAACAGACATTGTAGAATAAATTGAGTTCATTTCATTACTTGCTTCTCAGAAATTAAAAAAAAACTTCACGAAATCGAACTGATGTGAGAGACTATCTATGCGTGCTTTTAAATAAATGGCTTCACACACCCCTTACTAGTTGAATTCACTAAGTGAAAAGGGAAGTTGTAGGTACAAGGAACAGCATCCTTTAGGTTCAGAAACATTCACAAAGTGAAATGTCCAAATCATTTGCATATATACTAAGTGGTAGCCTACATAAACTTTGTTTAATAGACTTTTACAATTTTGTATTTATTAAAGTCTCAGCTAAAATTCAACTTTGAATTTTATCTTAACTACTCCAACATCCAATGGATGTTTTTTCTGAAATGAAAGCCTTAACTTGCTCATCGAGCGTATTGTGCATGAATACTTTTTCTCAATATAACCGAAACATTTAGTAGTGAAAGTATAAGCAGCGAAAACAGCGTCACTGGTCTGTCACCTTCACTTACTCATTTTGTTTGATTTCGTTTTCTTTTTCACGTGGTCACTAACTCTTTATGTATTTTTTTGGAGTTTCAGTTATGTTCCGTGGTTAAAAAGGTTGAATTAAAAGCACATGGACGTTTCGGTCAAGTGTGGCTTGGTCGGTTTTCATTACCTGTCGATAGTCAGAAGAATTCAATTCCTAATCCATCAATGTCATCGTTGGATAAAAATAATAAAGAGGTAGATGTAGCTATCAAGATATTCACTTCAACCGAGAAGCGTAGCTGGGAAGCAGAGGTTGCAATTTTCAATGTATCAGGTTTAGAACATATCAATATTTTGAAATATTATGGTGCTGATCAGGTCAGTTGAAATATAAGTTCCCAATGTATACTGACATATCTTTCCGATAAATAAACTATAGGCATAATATGTAGTACAGTCACTATATGAGAGTTAAGTGGATAGGTCAAAGTGGCTGCAAAACTCTTAGTCTTTTGGTTGAGGCTGTGATATGTGTACCAATAAGATACATCATTTTTATAACCGTCTAGTTGTGGTTAGTAGACAGAAAAAAAGGCTTCATGTAAATTTAAACGTTTACTTAACAGATAATTGTTTCCACACTACTTGTATATTGATAGAGAGCTTAGGTTTTAATTAAGGCTCAATTTTAATTCTATCAGTGATTTTCTCACATTTGTTCTTTAGTTCATATTTATGATTAAAAGTTTTATAGTAGTCAATAAAGGTGAATCCAAAGTATAAATGTAAAGTAGATCAAGTGTCTTCTGGGTGCAGTATTTTGATTCAAGTTTGTCTGACAATATGAGTGATTTGATTTTACAAAACAATGCACAAGAGGCAGTTTCCTAACAGAACGGGGTGATTCAACTTCTCTATTTATTCGGTATATATTTATCTAATCACAGTGACATAAATAATTATTCAGATCAATTACACAGATTAAGTTACATCTATACATGATACGTAATAGACAAGTTAAAATACCTATAAAACACAAAATAATTGAGCAAAGAATATCCTTTTCGATAATTTGTCTCTACAATTACATATGTGTCTATATACATAGAATATTCTAGATTAGTAGTCAATAATAATATCAATGTTTTGTAAATAATATCGATTTGTAAAGTAAGATCAATGCAATACAGTCCATTAAAGATGCTTAAGTAATAATAATAAAGATATAATAACAAATAGAATATCAACTAAAATTATGGAAATTTCCACAAAAAACTGAGGAACATTCAAACCTAGGTGGCCAAGGTAAGGATAATGTCTGAACTAGTTTCTTTTGGAGACATATATTGGGCTTCTTAGTGTGGATCCCAAAAACCTCAGCAATATTTAGTAATCCAACTCTTAAAAGGGAAATTAAGACTTCTTGGTATGCGGTAAATGACTTTGAAAGCCCCGTTGACATCAATTTTGTGTTCTGTATCCACAAAATGAGACAGAATAGCGCTACTAATAGATTTTGTTTATCCTTTCCTTAACCGCTATGCAGACTAATGTTCGGAAATCCGACGAGAAACGCCTAATTGTACGGCCTACGTAACTGGCTCTACAGGAGCAGTTATATTGGTAGATACACATGGAAGAGGCGAAATTAGGCGGTTTATCTTTTACTCCCGAACGCAAAATAGAGGTGGTTTTGAAGACATGGTATAATTCAGCAGCAGGGCATGCTCTTTTTACCGCATTTCTAAGGCGTTGTGTTAGTATCTCGCTGATGTCTCCGAGGAACTGCGGTTGTATTAATAAGGCTTTTTTCGGAACTGTTGGTACTTTGGCCTACCTTCATATTTTTATCAATGAATTTTTCTGAATAACTGTTCTCACTCAGCAACTGTTTAATAATATTAAGCTCTTCATTAAGACATTCATCGGAGCAGATTGCTCTTGCTGTGTGAACCAAGCACTTCATCAGATTGCATTTGTATTTTAAGGGCACGAAGCTGAAAAAAATGAGTATACTGGCAGTCAGTTGATGTAGGTTTTCTATATACACTTCTTACTGTGCCATCCTCTTTTCTGGTCATAAGGACGTCTAGAAATGAAATACTAGAGTCTTTTTCTTTTTCAACAGTAAAATTTTCTTTGCTTCCTCCTCATATTTCTTAATCAAAAATGTATGATCCATGTACCGACAATAGAATTCAAGTTCATCAATAACATCTTTCAAAGGCCTATTTTCTAGTTTCACAAGAAAAATATCGGCTAGAATGGGTCCTAGTGGTGACCCCATTCCCACACCATCGATTTGTGTATATCGTTCCTTATTAAATAAAAAGTGGACATTCATTGTGCATTTCAAGAGAAGCTCTTTTATAAAAGATATAGGAATTCCAACATTGATGTTTCGTCTTATGAGTTCTTCGCATACAAAGTCCACTGTTTCCATAAGTGGTACATATTAGTGAATGAGGACGATACGTCAAATGATATCATGAATCTATTGTTAACACCTAAAATATTATTGTAGACAGTCAATAATGTAACTTCTAGTTCTTATTAATTCATAATCCTCATGCTGTAGACCCTGGATGTAGCGTGTTCAGACCACTGATTTTCTATTTTATACCACTGCCTTCATATAACTTATGAATAAGAAATTCAGACTTATTTCCGTTTCCTTTCTTTTTAAAAACAAAATTTTCAACGTATAGGTTGTTGTAGACAATTCTGTTGGAGAGGATAAATTAGAATATTGGTTAATTACGGAATATCATCATTTAGGAAGTGTATACGATTATCTTCATGTATACGATATACAATGGGCAGATTTATTAAAAATTTGTATTGGAATATCTCAAGGATTAGCACATTTACACATGGAAATTCCAAATTTATCAAAGCCAAGTATAGCTCATCGTGATTTAAATTCTCGTAATATACTATTAAAGGCTGATCTTACAGCATGTATTGCTGATTTTGGTTTAGCAATTCGTTTTGAAGCTGGTCAGTGTATGCGAGATGCACACTTGCAAGTAAGTGATATATAATAATAATAAAAAAAGTGAATGTAATAATTAAAGTAATGACTATAATGGTGGTGTAACTCATTCTCTGGAATATTTTTTATTTGCTAGGCTACGAATCACGCTTAATGTCTAATGTCTTTTGAACTCATGAGCCAGAGGTAAAAATGCCAAGTGCTCAAGCCAATGAGCTACACCTGTTACCAGCTAGGTGGATTATAAAGGTATCATTTTGACAGGTAATAATAGTCGACTGATAGAAAGCACTGAAATAGTGCTGCTATTGCATGTGTATGTTTCTTATGTCTCTGTCTGTCTATCTGTCTGTCTGTCTGTTTTCCACATAGAACTTTGCACAAATGTGCGCCAGTTCAAGTCGCCACACTCCGTGTAGCACGCGAAGCAAGAGAAGAAAGTACAAGAAAAGCATAATAGAAACAGTGAGCAGAGGTGTGAGACAAAGTAGTAATAAAGAAAAACAAAACAGTTTCATTGGTGGAAATCATAAGTCACAAGGAGTGGTTGCATCTGCGCTAGCCACTGAGAACGATTTTGAGCCATGTCACCAATTGTTTCCAACCATAGATTTTTACCGTCCCGAGGACCCCAGCCTGGAAGTCTACACCTTCCTACGTGGCTTAGACCAACTGTTGTGGATTTCATTGACTGGTGCCAAGTTTTTGTTTGACCGCTGCTAGCTTTTTTCCAGCCTGACCCTATATCCGCTAACATTGCTCGTCGAGGGAGGCGATGGCTTGGCATACGTAACACATGTCCTAACCATCTCAGTCTTTGTAGCTTCACGACTTCGTCGATTGATTTCCCCTGTTTACCTAGAACTCTACGCCTAACCTCAATGTTGCTCACCTTATTATGCCACTTTACACGGGAAATAGAGCGCAGGCACCTATGTTTCTTATGTACATTTATTGATCGGCCAGCCTGAAATATTGTAGGGAAGATGGTGGAGACTTGTAAGTTTCTGTCTGTTTTTGGTAGTCTTTCTGACTTGGTAATGTCTTAATTGAATTCGTAACTATGGAACAATAATAGTCAACGGAGAAGTTTCAACCATGCTCACTATTCATAACACAGTGTTTAAGGAGGGTTTTTATAAATCTAGGCAAACATCTGAGGAGAGAATAGCTTGTCTATTGACTCACATGACTATGGGATATTATTCTGGGTTTTCGAGTTAGTTATTACTTTCACAAGCTTAGATACATTTGATAGTGATATGGATAGCTCACTGTTTACGTGGCTAGGAGTTAAGATTGAGAGCTGTTGTACTCATTTTGGAGTTTATCTTTATTGAAAAGCAACAACTATGTCATTGATGCAAATTCGTTACTTGATTATGACTTTTGTCTAGTGGTTAACTTGACGTATCATCCCAACTCAGTTGCTGGTTTGGGTCTTATTATGACCTATTCTTTCTAACACAAGTTACTTCATTGCTAAAGTCTCTGTCACGTTTATTTGTAATTTCAGATCCCTATACGTTTATGGTTTTTTTCCTTCACGTTCCCCAGTGGAACATAGGGCTTCAAGCTAGTGTCTTGAAGTTTCTGTAGCAGTGTTTAATTTTTTACAGGATGGCATGCTAGCCTCATGTCCAACCTTTCCTCTTTACCAGGATTATTTCTGGCTTATCGAAGTAAAGGAGTGCGTCGGCGGGGGATCGAACCCCGGACTATGTGCATGGTCGGCGAGCGTCCTGACGGCTATGCCACTGACGCTCTATGGTTTAGCTGATTATTAACTTCAATATTATCGCCGATGTGGAGAAGTTCATCTTTCCTTTTGTAGTATCTATACAAGAACTTAAGTTCTAGATGATCTATTCAGAAATGTTTCTCCGAACCTACTATCTATCATGTGTTTCATAGTTTTCCGTTATATTATACAAATAACTGCAAAATTTTTGAATATCTTTTGGAAAAATGTTCACTTTTTCAATTATGTGTATATCTGACAAGTGCTTTTGTTAAGCAATATTAAGTATCGGAGTACTCTGTGATTACAGTTCAGATAGTTATAAATCGGTAAATCAATCATTTAACTCTTGTTTCGCAAAATTCGGGCATAGAAACAAAAAAAAGCCTATCACTTAATAACTATGACTTATAGCCTAGTATAGTTGTATTACTATTTACCTTGTTGCACTTGTAACCATTTATTCATCTTTTATCGCCTACTTTTTAGTTGGGTACTCGTCGATATATGGCACCTGAAGTTCTTGATGGCGCTATTCAGTTCTCAAAGGATGCATTTCTACGCATTGATGTATATGCGATGGGTTTAGTGTTCTGGGAATTGATGATGCGATGTTGTTGTGGTTTTAACAAGACTTCAATAATTGATATTACAAATTATTTAGCACCATTTGAATTAGAACTTGGTCCACAACCATCAATGGAAGGTCTACAACGTTGGGTAGCGCATGCAAAACAACGGCCGAAGTTCAATCCTCAATGGGCCTCAGATGTAGTAAGTAATATCTCCTTTCAGTGTTGTAGTGTGGTTTTCTGTATTACAAATGAATTAACATTCACTTCTATCAGGGTTTATACCAGTTATACTATTGTTCTTAGGAGTGTTGTTTTGAAATCGTCCAGCATGAAATCGAATATTTAATTCATTTCACTCTTGTCTTGGCTAAATGTATGTTTAACCTTCATCAAATAAATCTCGTAGTAAGATTTTTGTGGTGTACATAGATGTGTGTTGTGTGTATGTATGTGCGTTTGTGTGACTTATTTATATATGAGTGAAGCTAATCAGGCATGACTGTCTATCTCTTAATGAGAACAACTTATAATTTGATCATGAAGATGGGAGAAATTTACATGCATAAGTTAATTAACATTTAACTTATCGAGTGTCTATGTTTTACTTTTCTAAGCTTGCTTAAAAGAAAGTGACTAGAGCTTCTATTCGTTTTTATAATAATCACTAGTTTTGTATGTCATTGGGTTTCACACCTGATGTTTATTGGATTGGAAGGGATTCTGAAGTACGAAACAGGGTGGTTGGTAGTTGGAATTCAATGACTGACAAACTGATGTATAACTATGCACGTGAGTGAATCTATTCAGTTGGCTACACACAAAGTAATAAAAAGGAAAGATAACGATATTACAATAAACAAAAATGAGAGTAGCAAGAGAAATAATGAAATGAAGATTAGTGAAAATACTCCACACCACCACCACCATCAAAAGTCTAAAACTATCCGGTGTACGTTTTTATAAAATAATCCAATATTACGGGATTACAATGGCTTTCGTGAATACATACAGTTTTCAGCACAACTTACTTGTATGCTGAAATCCTGAGGTTACTACTAATGATGTAATTTTCTTTTCAGGTTAGTAAAGTGTTCGAAGGATATGCCATACTAATGTGCTTAAAACAGCAAAGTGAACTGGCATCATTTTATACAATCTTAAAGTATATATAACATGTCGAGGAATAAAATCGATTGTCAATGTTCACTGTCAAAAAATCTCTTGGATAAATCTAGATTTTCGGATTAATATTGTGTGAAAAGCTAATTATCTGTGATAACTATAAGTATTATATGTTTGTGGAACTGTGTCAAGGGTTCGAACCTCGTTCCATATGTGGATATCGCTTGATTCGGACAGTACTGTAAATGTTCTCTGAATGGCATGAAACTTGAATGTTGATGAGTTCAGTTGAGTAATGTTATGTGTCTGTGTGCATCAAAAAGTTTATCTTCATGTAGTATACCACTTTTTACTAGATTACCCTGCATTAAACTGTATTCTAATTTCAACTTTTATCAAACTTTATTTATTATCTCTACTCTACCTCATTGGGCAAGGTTAGCTGATATGGGGTCAGGTTGGAAAAGTTGGCTAATGGTGGTCAAACCAAAACATGGCATCAGTCAATAAAATTGACAGCAGCTATTTTAAGCCACGTAGGAAGGTGTAGACTTCCTGGTTGGGGTCCTTGGGACTGTAAAACTCAATGAATGGAGGCAATTGGTGATATGGCTCAAAATCGTTCTCAATGGCTGACACAGATGCATCCACTCCTTGTGACTTTTAATATCCAATAAAACTATATGGTTCTTCGATATTACTGTTTTTTCGCCTCACATCTCTGTTCACTGTCTCTGTTTTGCATTTCTTTTTACTCTCTTCTTTTGCTTAGTATGCTAAGTGAAGTGTGGCGACTGCAACTGCTGCACACAGGTGCAAAGTTCTATGCTGAAACCAGTCAGACAGTCCCCGTCATGCAATTCATTTTAACCTCTCCCTAATTTAATAGCTCATGTTACTATTGTTTTTGCATTCAGGTTTTCGTATTAATGGGTTATTCAGTACGCTTACATTTCTATGAACTTAGTTATTAGGTCACATTATTATCAACTTGATTGTCATTAGAATCCTTATCTCAATTAGCATCATTACCCATCCATATGTTAGTCAGTGATGTAATAACTGTCTGGTAATTTTGTCCTTCAAACTGTCTAGTCTGGTTTAAATGTTGTTAATTTTAGACCAATGTATATGGTAATCATATTTGTAACCTAAGGTCAACTCCTAGCTTTGTTCAGTCTTAGTAAATCAGTTCATTGTTCCATGTGAAGACATATTAGCAACTGAAAAAGCCCTTTAAGTTAATAAACATTTCCTGTTGGTTGTTTATTTTGGACCGAAATGCTCGGTCTTTGTTGACGTGTCGGCTCCTAATACGGACGCTTCGACGGTATCTTAGGTCTCACTTTAAGCTATTTCCTTTGATGATGACTAGCCTTCGTATCTGAGACGATGGGTGCAGGGTTCGGGTTTCACTGGGAATGCTGGTGCACTCAGTTGAAAAGTCCAAAACAGGACGAAATTGGCATCCTAGATTCCACTGATAGTCACCATTAACCGACTTAAAGGAGCTGTTGATAAGTAGAGTAGACATAAGTGAATTTCAAAAGTGATTTGTGTTATAATGTTTTAAGTTCTCGAGAGGATAAATCAACTTACATTTAACTTGCAGTGTTCTCCAGTCACGTAATGCCATTTTACACCAATTTTAATCGTCCTATATAACTGGTTGTAACAATAAGTTAGTGCTTCCCCATTTGAAAAAGTCATTACTCCCAATTGTATTGTATTTTTTGCGTGTACTACTATATGTTCATTTTTTTACTCTATAAAGATTACGTCTTTTTTGGCTTAGTGGTTACAGTGGAAACTTTGATCTGTCTAATGAATTAACAGCTACATTTGCTGTTATATACGGTCATGATTAACATATAATGGCATTCTCAACTAATTTTTTCGTCCATATTGTGCTATTAGTAGTCGGGTTAAGCCTATTCCTGCACTCCAGTGATTAGTACGTCAGTGCCTCAAAGGTGGAATGCCCTTACGTGGTTCGGAGCTTGATTCACGGCCGACGCACCCCGTAAACCTCATCTGACTAGTAATAAGCCCGATGAAGAGGGGAGGTTGAACATGAAGCCAGCAATCTCAACACGTAGAAACAATACATGCGCTACTGAAACTTCCACTTGGAACGCAGAAAAATGAATGAATTCACTACAATGATTCGGAGAAGAAACAATTTTAAAATCTTATTGAAACATTTCTTTTTACATAGTTGAGAGAAACGTCACTAAGCACTTTCTCAGACAGAAGCATTCGCTTTTGTAAGATGAGTAAAGTAGTTTCGTATTTCACTGTAAGAGAGTAATTTCGTATACTTGTGCATTGTGGAGTAACAGATCAGAAACAATTCCAACAGTTGGATGTGATCATGGGCAGTAATTTTGCTCGAAATACTACCAAAATATTATATCACATACATTTGGTTACCTTGATAAATTTCGATAGAGAAAGAAAGACTAGATTTGCAATATAAAATGACATCATTCTATTTCACAGGTTCTCATCAGCTGCAAACTACCTGGAATAACAATGGTTATAAATAATAAAATTTCATACTTCAATGTTTGAAAGGCAATAGAGAAAACATTATAAGATGAATGCATCCGGAACATAACTATTACAATTTATAGTTTAAGTTACCATCAATTTATATGCTATCAAACTATAAAAAAGAGGTGTTAGAGAAGACAGAAAACAGAAAAATCTAATAAACAGTGTTAGCTTGTACGTCAACATAGCAACTCACGAAAGTTAAAGCTCATCAATTTGAAAACTTACTTAGTGAGTTGTGCTCACCAGTGCGTATGACTAATCAGTGTAATAAAAGTAATGCGGCTACCAAGGGAGTAAGATGTTTATCTTACTCTCCTAAGTTTGATCTGAAGCGTTTGATTGTGATTGCTTCAGCAAATCGTAGTAGATTCGCTATCCTTTGTATGTTTAATATTTTAAAGGATTTGGAAATCTCGACAAAATGACCCGTATCCACAAGATGTCTGGTTATTGCACTTTGTAAATATCTGCCTCCTTTTAAGCAAACGTTTCTTGGAATATGCTCTGAAAACCGGATGGAAGCCCTTCTTTCTGTCCTTCCAATGTACTTGCTGCCTCAGGTGCACGTAAATTTATAAATGCAGTTGGTGATAACACCAGCAGAGTATTTATCCAGTTTCGACTGGCTTATATAGCATGCAGTGCTGTATAGTGTCACCAGCTTAGCTGCAGGGAAGCATCTCTTAATTGCTCCTATCATCCTCTTGTCAATTTTTTTGATACTGCTTCTCCTTTGTATGGGAGGCAAATGAACACTTTCTTCTTTTCAACTGTTGGATACTTCGCTTTCTCATCTTTTTCTTTTGCTGTACTTCAGGATAAATCCTTCTTGATACCCGTTTCCCTTTAGGCATTTTCAACAAAGCTTAATTCTTCTTCTACCTTGTTAGGCGAACATAACTTCTTGGCTCTGTCGTACAGTGTCCTTACTAATCCCCGCATATAGCTTACACCTAAATAAAAAAATCATCAATGTGTGTAAACTGTTGAGATATAGTTATAATTAATTTAATTTAGTATGCTTAATACGGGGTGACAATCATCAGATAGTCTCATCTAATTTAAGTATCGTGTCTATTGACATTTATCAATCATGTATATCTGAAACTCTGTGCATAAATCCATTTACCTTTGATGATTTAAATATTCTCCATTCAACTATCATAGCTGTTAATTTCATAAATTCACGTAATTTTAACACGAAAAGAAAGAATGCATCCCCTGATACACCGTTATTATTACCTAAATTTTACAAGTATGTTTATCATTTTGTAATTTATAAAAATGAACAACAAAAATCACACTTGATTTGCATTCCCCTCATATGAATTGTGCTCATACATTTCGATCTTCAGATAGTGTTGTCACCATTTTTTGTGTAGTGAATTGTAATCGTATTCACAAAATCTGAGGTAGTGGGGGTGGGTTGGTTTTGAGGTAAGCCTTAAACTACTTTTTGGTTTGACCGATTGATACTTATGCTGTACAATTTGTATTTGTAGATTATCTTCACTGAAGTGTTATTCAAAGTGTTAAATTACCATTTATAACCCTTTATTTCTATAAGAGGTCATATCATCGGTATGACTCTCAATGACCTTTATCCTCTAATGTACTTTATTTTTGTAAACAAAAAGGTAGGATAATTTTGCATATTTGACACACTGAAATTGATTGGGACATTACATAACTGTCTGGTGGTTCAGGGATATGATACAGTTCTCTTTATGGTTGAAAGTTACAGGTTTGCACGCATCATTTAGTTCATATAACTGAAGAGTGCTAAACATTGTACCTTTTGAAATGACTATATATATATATATATATATATATATATATATATATATATATATATATATATATATATATAAAACAACACTCACTGAGATTCACGTTTATTTACCCCATAAGTCCTAATTGGAACAAAACTCACCGTTCATGCTCTACTACTGTCTTACTAATGACATTGATTGGCGGTCGCACTATATATTAGATGGGTCATTGGATTCCGTCTCATTGACTTGATGGTATGCGGTCTCGCCTTGTAACCTGAAAGTATTAGGTTCGACCCCTGGTGTTGTCATGGGTACTTGTTGCTGAAGTGTCATAGATCGCTACGAAACAGGTTTCTAGTAATCCTTGGTTTTCAATAGTTCTCTAACTGATATGAATCTGTGACTGAACTTGATACCTACCATTTATCGAATGATGATAACTACTTTGACTCTGTGCTTACAAACGATGTGGTAATATAGTAATAATAAAGCTTTATTTAATGGCAATATGTGAACATAGAATACAGACATTTTCAGCGTATTTAGTTCCAAGATACTTCCTTTTCATGCAAGATTTATATGTAAAGTAATTATCTGATGTATATCTTGTGACATAGCGTTGTTGTATATGATGAGAGAACCAATTCTCTAAGTTTTTTCTTCATTTCTTTCATGAATTGTACAGCGATTAGTCGGAAGCCAATTAAATATATACGTGCTGGTTCATGTAGAGTAGTCTTTTGATATAATTGCACAATTAAAATAATAAGAAATGCGGAAGAGTTTAGGCATTTTGATGGATGGAAATTTCGGTAGCCGCAGTAATTTAAGCAGGCTGCCGCTTATGTCTCCCGATTTATGTTTCAAGTAGTATTATGATGTGTAACTACGTGAATGAACACACATTTGAATAAGGTTCTACAGTTTATTGAGAAACCAGGCTGTGTGTTTAGATTCACTCAGTATTTTGTTCTTTTTGATCGTCTGATAAGCAAGTTGACTGGCCTTATGATGTACATTATTTTGCCATATTATCATTTCAGTTGAAAAGAAAAATAAGTAATTAACGTGGTTTCTCTCTCTATGTTTTACTAATAATTTATGATTAGATATAAAATTATACTTCTCAATCAGATACTAATTCAACAAATTTAGGGTCAGAGTTGACCTTTTACACTGAATAATTTAGTTCATACAGATATGTATTTTATTTATGATATGGTTCTTTTCTCTGAGTTGGTTTTTTTAATTGTAGAGCCTTCAGTGTCTTTCTGGACAACATCTTCAACTGACTGACTGGTTTCAACGCAGAACTTTGCACAGATGTGCAGCAGTTTGACTTACCACACTCCATGTAGCACACAAAGCAAGATAAAAGAGTAAAGAGAGATAATAAACACAAAAATAAGGCAAAAAATAGTAATATGGAAGAAAAGTAGATTTTTATTGGATATTATAAGTCAAAAACAGTGGATGCATCTGCGCCATTGAGAACGATTTTAAGTCATATACCACCGTTAGTCTCTAGCCACTGGTTTTTACCATCCTGAGGAACCCAACCAGGTAGGAAGTCCACATCTTCGTACGTGGCTTAGACTAACTGTTGTAGATTTTATTGAATGATGCCATGTTTTGGTTTGACCACTATTAGCTGAATCTTTTGCAGCCTAACCCTATGTCAGCTAACATTGTCTGTCGAGGAAGGCGATGACTAGGCATATGTAACGCAACTCCTAACCATCTCAATAGATGTAATTTCACAGTCTCGTCTGTTGATTTCGCCTCCTTAACTAGCACTCGAAGCATAACCTCAGTATTGCTAACCTTATTATACTACTTCAGATGGGAGACAGTACGCAGACACCTATGATCAAAGACACCTGGCCATTTTTCCATGTCTTCCGCTGTCAATGGCCAGTTCTCATAGCCATAAAAAAGGTCAGAGCAAACTGCTGAGCAGTACACACGCCCTTTGATCGATAGTCAGCTGGATATCACATCTACTAAGGTAGAGATAGCGTAAGTTGGCGTTCGCCAAACGAACCTGCTGTATCCGTGCTGAGATTTTGTCAGCGATCAACCCGCTTATTTCAGTTGATGCAACTTCACAAATTACTGAAGTGGTATACATGTTCTCCACCATTTCACTGCCTATCTTTAGGCTAGGAGTCAATGTAGTCTACTCTTATAACATCATCTTACATTTGACGAGAGTGAGTCGCATGCCAAACATTCGAAGATCACTGCTCAAGGTGTTCAGAAGACTCTGCTCTATTTTGTCAGCGTCTTCACCCAAAAGGATTATATCACCTGCATATTCTGAGTCAACGAGATTATTCCCCTGGTGGTAACAAGTCAACCCCTGAGTCGCTGAAGTCAGTTAGAGTTAAGTCAATTAGTACATCTATGATGAAATTAAACAAAAATGAATACAGTGGGCATTTACAGTATGAACTTCAATCATTCACTTGACATACACATTTCCTCTATATTCCTTATAAGTGTTTCATAGGATTCAACTGTTTAAAAAATTGAACAGTTTTGCTGATATCAATGTATATATTTTATATCATTCTCAGTAGTATATATTGAAAATGATCTTATCAAGTCAGCATTTATTAGTCACACATATACTCCGGATAAATTTCGTTAAGCTCACATATAATTTTATGTCATTTATTTCCCTATTCTTTCTAGGGTTTGTGTACATTATGGGAAACTGTAGAAGAATGCTGGGATCAAGATGCAGAAGCACGTCTTTCAGCTGGTTGTGTAGCTAAACGTCTTACATTATTACTTCATCAATCTACAATATTACAACAAATCAATGAGAAAAATGTCAACACTTATAATAGTAATAGTAGTGGTGGGGATAACGGTAAAAATTCTACAAATCCTATAAATAATGTTTGTTGTCCCATATCCACATCGAATGATAATCATAAAAAGCAGATTCTGGACATCCGATTTCCTCCTCCTCCTCCTCCTCGTCTTCTTCACATTTATATTCTAAAAATGTAAGTAATACACGTGATATGACCTTTTGGAATCATTCTTCAGTATTTAATAATGTCAATGGTACAACTATTCCTAATTCTACTGTCGCCAATAACACTACACACCTATCTAGAATAGGTTTACCTCATTCACTTAATGATGCTGTCTTCTCATCTACTGTTCATGATAAACTAAATGATGGAGTCAATATGAAAGCTATTCAACAAACAAAAGAAGATGATACCAAAGTAGGGCTACAACAAAACCGACAAGAAATGAATGAAGAATGCACAGAACATCAAAAATTATTGTATCCTACCGCTTCTAATTTGCATTGATTCGTAACATGCTTACTCATTCCTTTCTCAGTAGTATTATGTACATGTATGCGAATATAGGAGACAATTTACGTAAATATGTATGTATGTATGTATGAAATCTTCTATTTTATTATACCTATTTCTTATCTATTGTACAGCCTTTTGTTTATTGTCTGTAACCTGTATACCTGTAAAATCTCTATGCTTGAGTTATCCAACCAGTGGTAGCTATCTTGTTAAATATATATTTATTAATATATATCCAGTTATGATTTTGTTTTCGTACTACTGTATATGATGTCTATACTTATCAGTGTGGTGGTTTACTCTTGGACGCATGACATTATTTCTTCCTAATCTTCGGAATCCCTTTGTCACGATGTAAAAATGTTTAACTTCCTAACTTTGTTCATCATTTCCAGCGGTTACCTAGTTAGTTAGTGAGTTAGTCAGTCAGTTTGCATTACTGTTATTTGTCAGTATAACCTCGAGTCTTTGGGATTATGACATAACGATTGAGTACGTAATAATAATAATAGTAAGTTTATTATTGATGTTTATTTATCCAGTGTTCCTTCCAGTCGTAAATTGATCGGGTATTATTTCACCTTTTTCTTATTTATATAAAATGATAATAAATCCCGGTGAATTTGACTATCTATCTGCAAAGCTGTTTATATATATTTTTAATAGACAACTTATCACTAACATTACAACTACATCTACACATACTACTGAAATACCACTGTCAGTAGCAGTGTGTCTGGTGTATACAAGTTATTGTCAATATTTTGTGATCTTGTTTTATTATCATGGTTTTTGAAAATTCCCTCTTTCTTGTATATATTCAATTTTCTTTTCTTTTTTCTTTGAAATTGATTTGGAAGTAGTGTACACGTTGTTTCCTTTAAAACAACCTCCATTTCTTTTTAAATTCCTGTTTCTCTTTTTTCTTTTCCTTTATAATTATTAGACTTTTTTTTATCCAATGTTTTGTTTTGTCGCTGGTGTTCTATTTTTCTCATATTTATAATCATTTCTTTCTTTGAATTTATTGAAGATTAAATTATTTTTTCTTCTGGTTTGAAATTAAATGTCTTTACAATTCGTGTCTTTGTTGTATCATTATTATTTGTTCAAAATATACATATATATTCGATCAAATTGAGTGGAAATAAATAAGAATAAAATAGAAATTCCATTCATTCACTGTTACTTCTTCTTTTCAATGCGTGATTTGATTGTATGGCGTTTTTTGTATATTTTCAGATATCATGGTGGGTAGTATGCTTTTATGCATATATATATATATATATCGTTGTTGATTTATTTTTGGATGAATTTATCTAAAAACATATAGTAAGTAGTCTGTTATTGAGTAGTAGGGGTGGGGTGGGTAACATACTAAGATATAATTACTCAGAAGTGACTTTAGAAGTAAAAAACATGGTAGAAGTCGTAAATTACTCAGTACTCAACGGCGCAAAGCAAGAAAGGGTTAAAAAATTGATAAGGTTAAAATTGCTATTAAGTAAGTAAGAAAAGACTAAAAGTAGCTGAGTGTGTCTACTTAACAAGTGTGAAGAGGGTGTGAAAATCTCCAAAAGGAACATATGAGAGTAATAATAGTGAATTAATTATTAAAGTAAAAGCTAACTGAAAGTAAAATTGAAAGTTAAAATTCTTTTAGAGGGAACCACGAGTAAAGAGGTTAAGACCAGCGTAGAATAAGAGACTTGACAAACTTCTTGTGTATGCAGAGTTCCGGGTTGTATTGACGAATTTCCAATTCCGAAAGCTGACGCCCTTTGTACCACTTGGCCTCAGCTTTTAGATGATTTTGAAGGACGACTGTGGTGGAGCTATGTGGCTTGCTTTCATCAAGTGCTCGAGAATTGAGTTAGTAACTGTCTTGCATTGTCCTTTTGCTAACTAACCATATAGGATAATGTTCAGAGATGCATTTGGAAAGTGTGCACTAAACTGTGCGACCAATATAACTAGCTCCACACGAGTAGGTGAAGTTTGTCCCCAGTCTCTTATTCCACCATGGTCTTAACCTCTTCACTCGTCGTTCCCTGTGAATTTTTTATTTTTTAATGATTACTTCGCTTTTACCTGAATAATTAATTCACTATTATCACTCTCACATGTTCCTTTTTTATGTGTTTTCTCACTCTCTTCACGGTTTTTGAATGGACACTCCACTACCTTTTTACTCACTCAATAACGATTTTAATCTTATCAAATTTTTAACCCTTTCTTCCTTTGTCCCGTTGACTATTACATAATTTACAACTTTTATTTTTCCTTATAAAGTCACTTCTGAGTAATTATATCTTATTATGTCACCCCCTCTGCCTATTATTCAATAATAGACTACTATACACTGTTGGTAATTATAAATACGTGGAGGATTTCACCATGAACTGACATCCGTTAGAGAACCACTGGAAAACCTGAGAGTACTGGACAACTGCTTCGTCTTAGTTTGGGGCTCTTCAGCAGTACGCATCCACCGGGGTTCGAACCCACGGACCTTCTGGTTACATGGCAAGTTCGTAGACCGCTGAGCCATGGTGGATGCGTATTGATGAAGAGTCCAAAACTAGGAGGAAACCAATACTTGAAAGTTATAAAAACGACTGTACAGACTGTGAAGATGATTTCGTCGGTAAGGAAAATTTTCTTCGCCAAATTGCCTTTTATTTTCTTCATGATTCGACGGGTATTTTCGTTGATTTGAATTTAACTGCTCATTATGTTCAGTTCATCATATAAGGCGATTCAGGTTTCTTAAATTAGTAGTAGTTGTTGTTGTAGTAGTAACCTTATGATAGAAGTGATGATTGATGTATTATAATCTGGGTTAATTATTATTATTATTGTTATTATTATTATAAATAATTATTTGTATACAAACAAACTTTACAAGTGTGTGTGTGTGTTTTAATATCTCACCTAAATCTCTTCATAGACCTTGTAGTAAACAAAGTTGGTTTTCGTTAAAAATTAGCAACAACTGGGTGTGAAACTTTATCGATCATGTTAGTTGAAGGACTATATGATCTATACAATCTATTAATTTATATATATGTTGGGAAAGCACTGTATTCTGCGTGATCTTCAACTTCTCAATAATAATCAACATAAAAGTCTTTGTTAAGCTTTCAGTTGAATTATAAACTAGACGTTGAATATATATCTGTGTTTAGAAAACAAAATTGTACAATCAAATTGTCATGATAAAAATGAATCTTAAACATTGTATACAATTTTAATAGAATAGAAGAAAAATAGTGTGAAATAAGCTCTATCATATTAAATGGTTGGAGGCAATCGGCCACAGGAAGCCTTGCTTGACTTGGGTTTCGTGCCAGTTGGCGCTCACTCACCAATCAGCAAGGCGTATCTGCGAACTTGAAAGAACTCATGTCCCTTCTGATATTCGAACCCGTGTCACCCAGTGATGCAGTTAGAAACGTTACCACTGAGCTATTCAGGGTGGTAATTGACCTCCTTCCTCTAGGACTGTATTGGATAATTTGATTGGGCACTAGTAACTAGTTTGATGTGTCTAGTCCTTTGTTTGGTGCAGAGTGATTTCTATCAGTCAGGTCTGCATTGCGGTCACCATTCTAGCTAGCTCGCCATCAGGGTTGCAGATACGCCTTGCTGACTGGTGGGTGAATGCCAACTAGCACGAAACCTAGACCAAGCAAGGCTTCCAACCATCTAATATCATCAAATCAATGTGCACCGTTGATGGTAAGTACCTAGAATGGTGGCCACACTGCAAACGTGACTGATAGAGTTCAGTCTGCACCAAAGAAGGGACTAGCCAGACACATCACACTAGTTAGTTATTAGTGTCCAATCAAAGTAACTTCATCGTCTTATTTGAGATAGTAGAAACATTCACTTTACCTAAGTATCCTTTCAGGCTTACATTATAATAAGCTACGTGCATTGTTACGCACGCAAAAGGAGTATCTAATTTCTGAATTACAACTGACATTTATTCAGCTAGACATTTGTGTTCTAACAATGCTAATATTATTTCTGATGTACTGTGTATAGAGGAGATAACTACAATGAACTCGGGAACCATCAAAATATAATATGGTTGTTGCTGTGGCGTACACGTAGCGTGCGTCGGTGGCACAGTGGTTAGGACTCTCGCCGACCATGCACATGGTCCGAGGTTCGATCCATTGCCGACGCACACCTTATATCTATGGTCGGCCTGCAAAATTTGGGCTACCGATATCCATGCTGAAAATTCCATACTTGTACCAAAAATACAGTGTGGAATCAAGCTGTAAATAAAAAAAATAAATGATCCCATCTTTTTAGTTTGACAAAAATCGAAGAATTTCAGAAGCTAACATGAATCTGCTGAACTGTCAACTAGTTGTCTAGACTATGTCTAAAAAAGTTAGTCTCCTAATTGAGAGGTGGTTCAAGTGACTGTTAAGATTGACAGATAAAATTAGGTGTTATAAGTGAAAAAAATTATGCACAGTAACTTGGATGTGCGTTGGTGGCGCAGCAGTCAATACTCTCGCAGACTATGCGCATGGTCCGGGGTTCGATCCCCTACCGACGCACACCTGATATCATTTGATCATCCTGCGGAATTCGGAATACCGATATCACATGCTGGAAATTTCATACTTGTACCAAAAATACGGTGTGGAATCAAGGTATAGTTTAAAAACTTTTTTACTCCTAGTTTCTACTGTCACATATCTTTATTCTGTTAGTCTTTGTTTAACTTACAAAGATTTCGAGTACTATCATTTGTGATTGGTGCACATAGTCTAATCTTCATGTTTTATCTTAACAATATTCCTCTAATGATTCACCCTACTTTTTCATTTAGAAAAATGACTACATTTGATAATACTGATCCTGAAGAGGAGATTTATGAGAAGACATCTTTAGATAGAAATGACGATAAAGATGATAAGAATACTGATGGTGATAATGATGATGATAATGGCAATAAAGATCAATCAATTGGTCATATGCGTGATGAAGCTTTAAAACGTAAAGAACGCTTGAAACAATTACGTATGAAGAATGCATCACAGAAAAGTATCATCCATGTACAAAATGATGATGGTGAATTGCCTAAACCAATATTTCGTAATTATAAACCACAATCAGAAGAATTAAAAGATGGTGAACTACCAGCTGGTAGACCAGTTGACTGTAAGTTTAAAAATAAAACTTTTGAAATAAAAAAAGTGTTTCAGTGTCATTAAAACAATTTTTTTTCAAAATATATGCATATGTTGAGTTTGTAGGATTCTGTTTGGTTTGCAATAAACCAGTGTAATCTTCGCAGCTGTTTGATATCTGGTTCACTCTAGTTTGGGACTATTTGCATGTATTACGTATGCCTAGCCATCGTCTACCTCGACAATAGGCAATGTTAGCTGACATAGGGTCAGGCTGGAAAAGAGTTAGCCAATGGTGGTCAAACCAAAACATGGCAGCAGTCAATGAAATCTACAACAGTTAGTTTAAGCCACGTAGGAAGGTGTAGACTTCCTGGTTGGGGTCCTCGGGACGGTAAAAACCAATGGTTGGAAACAATGTGTCATATGGCTCAAAATCGTTCTCAGTGGCTGGCACAGAGGCGTCGGCTCCTTGTGACTTATGATTTCCAATGAAACTATATTGTTCTTCGTTATTACTCTTCCTTTGTCTTACACCTCTGTTTACTGTCTCTATTATGCATTTCGTCTACTTTCTTCTGTTGCTTTGTGTGCTACACGGAGGGAGTGTGGCGACTTGAACTGGTGCACATCGGTGCAAAGTTCTATGTCGAAAACAGACAGACAGGCAGGGACTATTTGCCAATGCTTACCCCATTAGGGTTGGGACTTGGAATTTTTACTTTATTATATGAGTGTGTCAGTCTCTGGCCATTGGACTAGGGTTCAAATGCCCTCGTTCCCTTGATATCCTGGATTCGATCTCTGGGGTTGAAACAGTTATTCTGATTTCTTCTAATTCTCTAACAAACATTGTCTTTTTTTCTTGCGCTTAAGGTTTTCTTACTGACGGATAAGATAGATTACCATACTTCTGTTCTTTTCTGTAACACTGACTAGAATTTATTTATCGATAATTCTAAAGTAAACTAAAAATGAAACTAAATGACAAGAATCTGTTGTTCACGTTTTGTTTTCCGCTATAATTTTCGCGTATCTGATATTTCAATTTGTATGACATGTTGATGATTATCGGAATTTCTATTTTTGTTCATAAAACACACACATACAGTTCAGTTTATCATAAACGGAAATACTTTATAACTTTGCTTAATTAGTAAATGTTAAAGTGAACTCAATGCTAAAGTTTATAGGATTTCAGTTGATAATATTTTCACCTAACTAATTTATGAAATTGAAAAAGCGCGAACACAAAGTGAATTGTATGCTAAATGATAAAGATTATGAAATTTTGGTTGAAGCAACCAATAAAGCTAGAGAAGCAAGCTTAAAGAAATCAAAAATCACGCAAATTAAGAAATTCAACAGGTTATTAGAAAAAAACGGTACAGTATATGAAGAAGTTGACACTGACTGACTGGTTTCAACATAGAACTTTGCACCGATGTGCAACAGTTCAAGTCGCCACACTCCATGTAGCACACAAAACAAGAGAAGAAAGTAAGAAGAAATGCAAAACAGAGACAGTTAACAGAGATATGAGGCGAAAAATAGTAATATCGAAGAACCATATAGTTTTATTGGATATTATAAGTCACAAGGAGTGGATGCATCTGTGTCAGCCATTGAGAACGATTTTGAGCCATATATCACCAATTGCTTTCATTCATTGAGTTTTACAGTCCCAAGGACCCCAACCAGGAAGTCTACACATTCCTACGTGGCTTAAACTAACTGTTGTGAATTTTATTGACTGATTACCTGTTTTTGGTTTGACCACCACCGACTCTTTTCCAGCCTAACCCTATGTCTGCTAACATTGTGTATGTGTGTGTGGATAAAAATATTGTCATCGCAAAAGCTGACAAAGAAAACGCCTCCGTAGTTTTGAATAAATCTGACTATATCAAAAAAGTTATTGAACATATTCAAACGGGTCCATATGAAGAAATTAAGAAGCCTGTAGACACAATAATGAATAAGGTTAAGAAATCTACAGCAGAACTAATACGCAGAATGAAGCCGTCACTGGGTGAGTCAAAATGGTTTAATTTAATGCCTAAAACTAATAATGCTAGTAGAATGTATGGTACTATTAGAATACATAAGCCAGGTTACCCCATACGACCAATAGTAGATTTTAGAAATACCCCTACTTATGAATTATCAAATCACTTAGCTCTCTAATATTATGCCCCATTAGAAATCGTTCAAACTCTAGACTAGCTAATTCATATGAGATGAAAAATAAACTAAACGACATTCAACTAGAGAATGGTGAAACAATGGTTAGTTTTGATATAACTAGTCTTTATACTAATATACCAGTCAATATGGCCTTAGAAGCAGTTAAAAAAGAACTAACTGCGGATCCTGAACTCAATCATAGGACAAAGCTGCCCATTGAACAAATTATTTTGAGGATTCAGTTATGCCTCACATCTATTATCTTTAAATTCCAAGGCAAAATATATAGACAAACAGAAGGTGTAGCAATGGGATCACCAATATCGTAGCAGATATATTCATGAACAGCTGCGAAAATATTTCTCTTAGTACATTTAATCTTACTCCAAAAATATGATGGAGGTAGGTGGATGACACTTTCACAGAACATCATCAGAACATATATCTCTAGCTTCTTGACACATATAAACTCACTAGTAAAAGGGAACAGAATTCACATTTCAGTCGGAAAGTGAACAACGAGAATTAGCTATGTTAGATTGTAAAATGAAATAAAAGGTCAAACGTAAAGTGAAAATAATGGTGAAACTAATAATGATAACATATATAAGAAAGAATATAAGGCCTCTACAGTTCTACCGTATAACGTCACCACAACATAATCTACTTTATATACAAGGTTAACTTAGAGTGATATAAATTTTTAACTGGAGTGAAGTAGTTTACTAATGCAATTTAATTATCAATAAATTCGTGTCGATGGTTACTCTGGAAACAGCTTCTTATTCAAAGGGAAGTCAGTAGAAATGAAATTCCAATATAAGAATAGAACTTGTGCAGTGTGGTAGAGTATAATTACATTTAGGTAAAAAATTTATTTCGATAAAATCACACAGTGTGGTACTGTAATATTTACTGATGACCACGTTTCGAGAACAATTCATTGTCATTCATAATCATATCAAGGCACTACTCCCACAATTCTCTAACTTCGTTTATATAATTCCATTATTTTCCATCGCTTGATTTGATTGGTAGTAATATTTTCCATATTTCCGGTATGAGTGATCAGTGATTCTCTATTGTACGTGTTGGGTGTAGATTCTGTGCGCAGCTGGGAAAATAGTGCTCTCAATACATTTAATCCTACTCCAAAAATATGGTGGAGATATGTGGATGACACTTTCACAGTGTTAAAATCAGATTATATCTCAGGCTTCTTGACGCGAATAAACTCACTAGTAAAGGGAATAAAATTCACATTTGCATCGGAAAACAAACAAGGAGAATTGGCTATGTTAGATTGTAAAATAAAATAAAAGGTCTAAAGCAAAATAAAAATAATGGGGAAACTAATAATGATGACATAAATAAGAGAGAATATAAGGCATCTACAGTTTTATCATACAAGGAGGAGACATCTGAGACCCTACGTAGGATTCTGAATAAATCAAGAATTAGGGTGGTATTTAAACATACAAACTCACTCAGGCAGAGAGAAGCTCTGTAGGTTAAAGCACCCTGTTGACCCAATTCGATAAAATAATATAATTTACAAAATATCTGCAATGACTGTGAGTGTGGTCAAATACATAGGTCAAACTAGTAGGTCAGGATTAGTCACATTATCAGAGCATAAGAATTTAGCTGAGGTTAGAATGATTGACCCCACTCGCGAATATAAGCAATTTAGAAAAAACTCGGCAGTTGCATTGCCTGTATTAACACTCAACCACACAATAGGTGGGTGGGACAGAGTCAAAATTCTAAGAAGTAATAAAAGTAGATGGAGATAGGGAGAGATTGATTACTGAATCCTGTTTCATCTACTATACATACCCAACACATGCAATAGAAGTGACTCAATGGAAATACCAGAGATATGGAAGATATTATTACCAGTCAAATCAGAGGAGGATAATAATGTTAAAATGTATTCAGTTCACATTCTAACAAGTCAGTTAATTATTTTTACTATAAAACATCTTATTTCCCACCTGATTGTATTTTATTAGTAACATTAATATTGTTTCCGAATGTACTTTATCTTATATTGATTTTATTCAAACAGCTGATCAATCTTTACTCATGTAAAGAAGTGAAGCAAGAAAGTTGTATGAGTGCCTTGATATGATTATGAGCAATAGTTTGTGCTCGAAACGTCATCAGTTAACATTACTGTACAACACTGAGTGATTTTATCAAAATTTCTTACATAATGGAATCATACTCTAGCTCAGTGCCCAAGTTTTATCCTGAAGTTAATCATGTGGGCTTCCTATTGTACATATAAAGTTCAAACAATCTACCTTTAGTTTGGTTACTTTCGATATTAAGGGGTGACCAGTATTCCCAAGTGTGTTGGTTTGTTGGGATACGATTGATTTAAACTTGGATCACGAACTGGCTTCATTAGAGGACCACTGGAGACAAGGAAGTACTGGACAGTTACTTCACTCTAATTTGGGACTAACTTCGTTACCTGAAGGTACTGAATTCGATCTCTGGTAGTGCCATGGCTGTGAGTACTGCTGAAGGATCTCGAACTGGGATGAGATAACTACCGTGAATTCAGTTCATGATCTAACTTGGAGTGGTATTTCATTACCACCTGAACAATTTGTATATTCACATTTACACATATTTGTAAAAGAAGAATACTCATAGCCTAATATTTATTAATCCATTAAGGGCAACAATACTAGCACTTTTTCGCAATGGAATTATTAATACAATAGAAGTATTGTGTTGCATTTCGTGTAGCATTTGTTATTTATTGATTAGCTCTGGCAGATTAATATATATGGTTCTAGATTATATCTACTGTAGTAATAGTACCATTTCAAGTGTTAAGTCTGAGTTTTTTTTTTTCCGTCAGCTATTTTGTTCAGTAATGTGATCTTCAAAGAGAAAAGTGACATCAATTAATTCCGACAGTGTAAAAAGTAGTTGTTTTTTTTCCTTAAAGAATATAATAGTCTGAATAAATAATATGCATTTTAGTAGAAGGTTATAACAATACGTGGATCGCTTCTATGATCGTCTGTCAGTTATGTCAACAAGTATAAAGGAGAAAATCGTGCCAGAGCTTTTTGTTGAAAGGATTTAAAAAAAACGTATTAAGGCGTATAATTCATAGGCATGCAGAGTCTTTATATTTTCATAAAGAAAGAGAAAAACTTTTGATGTTAAATTTTTCTTATTTTGCAGTGAACAAACACATCATATCACAACTTGAAGCTGCAGACGCTCCAGTTATTGTTGATGAAGTCGTAAGTTGTTATTATTATTATTGTTGGTGGTGTTGTCTATGCTAACATCGTTGTTTGTTTCACAACTTTTGTAAAGTATATGAACTCTGTAAGCTGCATTACAGTCATTATTATTTTTACTAAAGAGTTGATTTTTAGAGATTCTATTTGTTTCAGGTGTGATAACGTATTCATCTCAGTTAAAGAACATTTGAAAAACAGGGGTAACTGGGGAGCTATTTCTTCCTAGGTTGGGACTCTTCAGCAACAATCACCCACTGAGGTTTGGACCCAAGACCTTTACTTTACAAGACAAACTCGTAGACTATTCAACCACTAAGATGCAATTCCAGTGGTCCGTGAATCCCAACTTCTACCAATTCGTGATTTTAGCTCGACCACTAGCCAATGTCATTAGTGAGTGTTTGTCCTCACGTCTGACCTGGTGATGGACCCCGCTGATCACGACTTCTCATTAGAACTCCAGGAAACTTCTTCAGTGACTAGCGATTATCAGATTAATTTTCAAGAGTTAATTCTGTAGCGATTTGATTTGTTTCAAGTTTAATCGCTGATTATTATTCCTTTTGGTTCTGAGTGGTCAGTAGGACTTGAAAAGTACTTCTGCATTTCATCCTGTCCCTTACAGTCGCTTTTAGTTGGCTCCAAGATTGCCTATAAGCGCTCTCCTGTCACTCTAAGACGCCGAAACCATCGTTTCCCGTTTGGGTACCACTTTGTTGTGGCCTTGCGCGTGATATCACTTTCTAGTCTCATCAGAGTTTGTCTAATTCATGCCCATTTCCTTCAGCATATTTGTCAGACGGTAAGTTATTGGTTGATCTGTTCCCAGAGTTCTTTGTTGTTAATCCTTTCTGGAGAGTCATTTGATCTTCATCATGGAGCGAAAGCAGCTGTTGGTAAAAGTCTGAAGCCTGTTGGGAATGCTTTTGGTAATGTGCGCCCCAAGCCTCTGAATCATATAGAAGAACTGATTGACTTGGCATTGGTGTTGAACATTCGAATCCCTTTCTTTATAATAAATTCAACGGATTCCTACATTGTACATTCTGTTTAATATGCAGAAATACTGTAATGGTTTTGAACACAGTAGTATTTGGTGGAAGAATTGTCTAGTTTTCAAAATGATGTACCATTACAGCGAAATGTAGAAATTTTCATTTGCACATGTTCTTCATATTTCTCTTCTTTGGCTTCCTTTTTATGTTTTCTATGTTGTTTTACAAGGATCTTTTATTTTTCTCCTTCGCAAATGAATCCATCCCCCCATCATTCAATATTCTTGTAAAAGGAATCACACACAATATACTACTTACGGAATCTTGTCAGTAACACACGCCACAATACTTTACAACTAACAAATTTGGACTAAACTATCGATCTAGGTGTATAAAAAGTGTATACATAATTTTGAAAAAGAATTACGCAAAATAGGGGGAGAGTATTAGAGAGGAGATTCCCAATATTTTGGGTAGTAAAGACGTTCACTCCATTCTCATTTTTCTTCGGTTTCGTTTCCATGATCTTTCAGTTTAACTGACGTTAATATAATGCATCATTCATTAAAGTTTCGAAATAATAATATTTCCTACGTTGTAATCATCCTTACCTCTAACGTGTATTGAAGTAAAAGGCCTTATAAGAGGCTTTTGAAAAAAAGTATACAGTGCGTGAATTGGCAGAAGTCAGAATTCATGGGATGGCTATTGGATCGGGTCCCAGCGGCTCAATGGTCTACAAGCTCTCTTGCCTTGTAACCAGGAGACCTTTGGTTCGAACCCTGGTGTTGGGTGCGTACTGGTGAAGAGTCCCAAACTAGGCTCACGAAACAGCTGACTTTCCAGTACTCCCGGCTGGTTTTCCAATGGTTCTCTAACCGATGTCACCTCATGATGAAATCCTCCAGCCGATCAAACAAAAAACCCTACAAACCAATATTTGAAAATTAATTAAGAAATAATGAATCCCTAATTGTGCTATACTGATTAAATATCTACAAATAAATGTAATTCTTTTATTCCTTCACGTTCCCAGTGGAATATAGGGCTTCAAACTAGAGGCTAGAAGTTTCTGTAGCAGTGTTTAATTCTACAGGATGGGGTTGCTAGCCTCATGCCCAACCTTTCCTCTTTATGAGCTTTATTTCTGGCTTAGCTAGGTAAAGGAGTGCCTCGGTGGCCGGGGATCGAACCCCGGGTCATGTGCATGGTCGGCGAACGTCCTAACCGCTATGCCACCGACGCACCAGATGTAATTTACCTTTTACCATTACTTACCGTGACGAGTTCCGATTACGACGAAATGGCTATCCTTGACCACCTTAGTGTTAGCCACTAACATACGAATTATATCTTTCAGTTGTTTTTTTACAACATTTGTTGTATCTCACTTATATCGAGTACGTGTTAATCTAGATTTTTTTTGCTACTTCCTCTTTAAAGCTAATTCTTCTTTTCTAATATTTTTCCAGAATTTAATGAGCCTTGCTCCACGTAAACCGGATTGGGATTTGAAAAGAGGTGTTGAAAAGAAACTGCGTAAATTGGAGAAAAGAACACAACGTGCTATTGCTGAAATGATTCGTAAGTTGTTTAACAAGAAGAATGAGTGTTTTTAACTATCTCCAGTTGTGTTATTTAAAAAAATGAAAGTATCATTTTTATTGGATGATTTATCAAGGAATTGTTTGAATTCTACGTAATATTCGATATTATTCTGAACAAACCATTATTTAATTATGGGAATTATTTCATATGATATGATTTGGATCAAAATTTCTATTCAAGAATTCATTGAATGTCATTTCCAGTAATAAAATTGTACCATTGGCTAGCAAGTGGACTTCAAAACACGTTTTTGTTCAGACAAAAGTATCCTCATTCCGATAAATCTTAGTGTTCTGTTTGAGCTTAAAATGATAAAGTATTGTTTACTGGGTCGAGTCGTGTAAGAGGCTAACTGTACAACGAACGGACTTCAGCCTTTATGTATTCATTTTTTTATTGTGGAATCTAAAGCTTTATTTTTCTTTTTTTGATGTACTTGCGTTCTCTGAAGTGGATGGTTTATTTGCGAAGCTTTCATTACCCAACACTAGTCAACATATTCAGCGTATACTTCAATTTGTTGAAGTGAAGTTTTAGATTTCTCCACGGCTTCATTATTCATCTCTCCTAGTGTGTGACCTTGAATGTGATTGATTGTTTTTGTGTGTTTCCTTGACCTGAAGTTTGACCTTTTGTGTGTGAGATTTTCTCCTTATCGATTGGTTAATTTTGTGTATGTCAATATGTCTATTGATTGGCGATTCAGTGAAATACCAGGAAGCCCTCAAAAATTCTCCAGCATTCTTGTTGTGCTCTGTGTAATATTTGAACGCTGTTCCAATCGAAATAATATCTGTGTTCAGAGATATAAGGGAGTGTATGTCATGTCTTTTGACGGACTAGCTTATGGTCATGGATACGAAGAAGAAGGGAACGTCCACTTTGGTCAATTTTGTGTTTTTCGCAGTTGTTGTAATTTATTTTGTAGATGATGTTGGTTTTATCTTATTTCGTTGTTGAGTCTTTTGGTTGACACAGAAGTGAGTGAAGTGATTTTGTTGGTCTGTGTGCGATGTCAATTCCTAAAGGTTTGAAAATTCCTGGAGTGATTTCTGAGATGTCCTTTATATATGGCAGGGCGATTTTCTTTGTGCTTTTCTTGGAGGCCTTAGATGTGGTAGGATGGCTTAATGGAAGATGTCTTTTGGTGAAGTTCCATGGATATCCATTCTCTGGGGAGATGTCCGTGAGATATTTTTCTTCAATTTTCCATAAGGTAAGAGTGTTTCAATGAGTTCTGGCTGGCTCTCTTGATTAGTGTTTGTATGCAACCCCTTTTGTGTATTACTGGGTTGTTGGTGTTGTAATCGAGTATTTGATCTGTGTAGGTTGAGCTACAAATCTTCTCCATTATATCCAAACTTTAATTGGGTCTTGTTAATCATTTATGTTTAGCCTAAGACTCCAATCTGATACCTACCACCTCAAATTCAAAAGTTACTTAGCAGCGACTAACTGACTTTTATAATGATAGAAGCAACTGCATTGTAGCTGTGGGCTGATTAGTATGTTTCTTAAAGTGTTCTGAGCTACACTCTCTCCAGAGAAGTTAATGAAGTTTCATCCATCTTGGAGATCACTTCACTTACCATAGCTTTTCTACTGTCTGTCTTCTTGATAAAAACAAAATAAATAGTTTCCTAGTTCTGATGGATTTTCCATTTCTTTCCTTTTTACTACTGTCTGTCTGTCTGTCTGGATTCAACATAGAACTTGGCACCGAAGTGCACCAGTTCGAGTTGCCACCTTCCAAATAGCACACAGAGGTAGACAAGAAGATGAGTGAAGAGAATCAATACAGTCTGACAAGTATAAGAGTGAAACAGAATGGGTAATGGTAGAAAGGAATATGAAAGATTACAGAGACTGAATACATCTGCGCCATTGACAACGATTTTGAGCCATGTCAGCCATCGTCTCCAGCCATTGATTCCTAGAGTCCCGAGGCCCCCAACCCGGGAGTCTGTATCTCCCTACCTGACTCAGTTTAACTGTCAAGGATTTCATGGATTGATGAGGCCATGTTTTTGTTTGGCCACCACTTACTCTTTTCCAACCTGAACCTATATCAGCTAGCAATGCCCGTCGGGGGAGGCGGTGGTTAGGCATGCGCAGCACGTGACCTAGCCATCTTAGTCTATGTAACTTTACAGCCTCGTCGATTGATTTTCCCTCTTTGCCCAACACTCTACGCCTAACGTCAACATTACTTACTTTTGACTACTGACCTTTGCTCAGAGTTCCTGCTTTGTTTTTTCGTTAGTTCACATGTAGAACACTTTCATTCTTCTCTTATACTTGGGCTCCTTTGAAATCAGCCTTTTCTTCATACGGAGTTCGAGGTTGTATTGACGAATCCCTAACGCCTTCGCCAAGTATCAAAGCATAACAAACCTTGTGTCATTCAGCCATACTGTATAGAAGACTTTGAAACAAAACGACTCCAGTTGAGCTGTTTGGTCTGAGTTTATCAGACTAAGCTAGCAATCAACTTACAGAGTGTCCTCATGATAACCCTGCTAGATAACATTCAAAGATGCGGCTATAAAGTGTTATCTTTGGGCAGCCAATATAACTATCTCCATAGGAGAGCAGTTGAATTTATAACAGTTCGCCCTTCAGACATCCATTGCGTCATTGATGATTAAGTAGTTCCCTTCTATCTTGAACAATCATTTCTGAGTAATTATTTCAATCATATTACACACACACACACACCTCTATGACTCAGTAATAGGCTGCTACACTTTTTTAGTAAATATAAAGAAAGATAACTTAATCGATAAGGAAAACTTTCCTCGTTGAATTGTTTCTTTCAAATTTTCATACTTTAAAGGATATAGTAATAATAATAATAATAACAATTAAAACTTTACTTCCTATTCACTTGCTCTACTCAAAGTTGAAATTAAGTGTACAATTAAGCTTAATCTAATCTAAGCAGCGAAGACGACATGACTTCAGGTGAACACAGAGAAGACGGAGATGACAAAGATAAGCAAACAACAGTAACAACAAGCATCAATCACTATCAAAGGGGGAAGCCTGAAAGAAGTGTATTATCCTTCACTTATCTAGGAAGCATCGTTTCAACCTACAGGTTGTGAACGGATGAATATGTCAAAGCCACAACAGGAAAGGTAAAATATACCTTCATCAATCTGAAACCAGTTCGGAAATTTTCTGCCCAGCAGAAAGAACAAGATTCGAAAGTTCAACATAAATGTGAAGTTGGTCCTTCCGTACATGTTAGAAACTTGCACTGAGTGTCACAAAAAGAATTTCCAACAGGCTGCTACGGAGTTTTATCAACAACTGCCTTCGATGCCTACATGCTGAAGATCAAATGGACAGAAGAAATTAGCTATACAATGCCACTGGGACAACCTGACCAAGAAAATATCGTTCAATAAATGTGTAGGAGAAAATGGAGATGGATTGAGCATACACTGTGGAGTACTTTACTTTACTTCGGCTATCTCCTACGGGAGGATGAGCCGGCTTCATGAACGTCTCGAATCATCGCTGCCCAGGCGCGGCAATTTGTAAGAGAGTTCATGAAGTTTCATGGGAATTTGGTACGAGTGATGTCCCCAGCATCGCTCGGCCTTTTGTTTGAGAGTGCAGCTCTAGCCTTTACACAGCCAAGTGTGACCTACAAGGCAGTAGGAGTGGAGTAAGGAGTCCACTATCCATTGGTAGCCGGTGACCGGAGTTCGGTTCATATGCCTTTTTGAATGGGGCCAGACATCCAGGACATCCAACAAGCCCTTTGTCCATACGTCTGCCGGTGAGCTCCAGTGAGCTTCATACGCCAGTCGTTGGAGGTTTGGAATCAGGGTTTAGCCATCTCCCCTAGACCGTCATCCAGTGGACAGTCAACCCGGTGGAGAGCGCCGGGCATCCGCTTTCGCCCTCTCACTTTGGTGAGAAACACCTCCGCCACGTGAAGGCAGTGAGTAGGACTTCCTCAGGAGAGGCTATGTAAGACGCCCGGTCATATGGGAGCATTTCAAGAGGTGTGCGGAGGGGTGGCCAACCCGCAGCGCAAAGCACCCACCCCCGACCATCCTGAGGCTTTGGAGGCTTGTAGAGACTGTCGAGTGACATCTCGCGCAACGCAGGCCTTGGCTTGAGTGGAATCCCAACGGAAAGCAATGAGTGGATTGTCCTAGGATGACACGGAAGCGAATGTGTGAGGAGGAGATGAGAGATAATGGACAATCGTAGACCCAGCTGAAGAGGATAGCAGACAATAGAATAAACAGGAAATGTGTTGTTGTTGTAGCTCTGTTTTTCACTCGGAACCCAAGAGAACAATAATAATAAGCTTGATCTAGGGTAACGTAAGATAGTATAAACTCATAACTCTACTCTGATTTATGAAATTAGCACTAATTCAACAATTAAAACAGGTAGATTTAGTCATGTGTTATTTTCTTTCTGAGATTTTAAAAAAAAACATTTTTTGTCCACGGCATCATTTTCTTTCTTTAATTTCTTTTTACTATATAGGTGAACGTCTTCTGGGAACAGACAACTATCTATCTGATTCACTTGTAAATCATGAAAAATCAATTGAGTAATTTCCTCATATTCTCTTTCTAACCTGTATATTAATTTGAAATAAATACATGTATAATAGAATTGTATGGTTTATTTTTTACATAAAGTAGTGGACTTGAGCATATCACAATGGTTGGGGTTATCATTGCATATGCATACAAAGATGGTTAGTATTCTGTTGAAATGAAAGATTAATAATACATGTCATGGGGACTCAAATTATTATAAGGAAAAAAATCTAAGGAAAATATAGTTGAAGAGTTTCAGAATGATTATGTTAAAGCGTCATTATTTGAGCATATTCGCAGGGATTTTTCATTCATTCACTTGCATTACGTAATGTGAGAGTTGTATGCGTTAATGCCTTGACCCACTTAGTCAGAGCAGTCTCAGTATCGTAATGCACTAGGCGGTTTCCTGTCCACTATAATTATCCTCTATCTCATGGCAAATCATCTGTGTTAGAGTTAGGGAAGAGCAAACAGTATTAACATTAGAAGATGGCACACTTCTTGGATGATGTTCCCTGCTTTCTTGTAACGTGCTAATGGATCTCAGAATTACTCATATGTTTTCTCCATCACTTGCAAGTAATCCAACAGAGATAGAGTTTGATAGATCACAAAGAAGTCAAATGTTTTTATTCCACAGTGTCCATGTTCTGCATCCACCTTATCTCTAATTGCCAAACTATCAATAAGATGTCGTCGAAAGTTATGTGGATTAGCATATGTGACTTGGGAATCTAATTTACTCCATCTTCGCCAGCACTTATAAAACCAACTAGATTACAAGTTATTTGGTGCAATGTAGTCGACTTGTCTAATAGTACATAGTAAACGAAAGTCGAGTGATAATTCTACGTGCACATTCTTTAAGTACTTGACGTATAAAACTACAAACAGGCTCATTCTCCGCCTTCACATTATCTAATAGCTGCTGCTTATTATTATTCCCTCCAGTTCCGAGTGGGACATAGGATTTCAACATTCTCTGCTATTCTCTTCATTTGGGTCAATGATCTCTCATCTCCTAACACAATCGCCTCCGTTTCACCCTGACGACCCACTCGTCGTTTCCCATTGGGATTCCACTCAAGCCATGACCCGCTTTGCGCGCGATATCATTCGATAGTGTCCTCAGAGCATGCTCAATTCATCTCCACTTTCTTCTATATATCTGTTGAACAATAGGTTCTTGGCTGGTTGTCCCAATAGCTTTGTGTTGCTAATTTCTTCTGGCCATTCGATCTTCGATATGGAGCCAACGAAGGCAGTTGTTGACTAAAATCTGTAACAGCTTGTTGGAAGTTATCCTTACACGCGCGCCGAGTTTCTGACCCATACAGAAGCACCTACTGACTTGACATTTGTGTTGAAAATCCGAATCTTGTTTATTTGTGCTGACTGAGTGCATAAGATTCCCAAACTGATATCAGAGTGATGAAGGTGTATCTTGTCTATCCGATTCTGAGTGGTAATACTAGGTATAACTAATTGTTATATCTTGCTCTGTCTGCGCCTGAACTTATATGTTATATAATTGCGCTGAACAGAATAAAAACTGTAGGGAATTGAATGATGATGTTTTCTCCTTATTCTGTCTGCGCCTGAACTTATCTGTCTATCTGCTCGTCGTACCTTCCGACTTAGTAACGCACGCAAATATCAAAAGACAAAGTCTGGACTGTGACTGTGTATTGAGGTGCAACAACGATAAAGAAAGCCATGGTATTTATACATTTTACAACAATATGGACAACTAACAGCATTTGAAATAATTGACCTTAATAGCCAATAACAAAGTGTGTGAGAAATGGTAATATGCCATATGTGCGACATTGACAGTCAGTAACAAAATGATAATATACCATATATACAAAATTAGCAGTCACTACCAAAATGTGTGAGAATGATAATTAGCAGTCACTACCAAAATGCGTGAGAATGATAATTAGCAGTCACTACCAAAATGCGTGAGAATGATAATATACAAAATTAGCAGTCAATACCACAATGTGTGAGAATGATAACATACCATATATGCAAGTTTAAACAGTCAATACCAAAATATGTGGGATCCTATCACTAATCTACTTCAAATTGTTTATGACAATCAATCATGATGGTTGCAAAAGCAAAGGACTGGGTACAAATCAGAGCCAAAAAAAAATATTTTAGAAAGTGGTAATTGTGACGTGATCTATATGAGGTTGAACTCAACCTTCAATGGCAATCTCAGAAGATACATTCAATGTCAGATTGTCTATATGAGGTACTATAGCGGGAGAAAACAATGTAAGCATCTATTTGTTAACTTAAGTGATAGTATAAAGACAAAATCTAATTGGTTTATGACAAAAATAGAATGAAACAGTTAGTAAATGAGAATAACAATCAGAGTTTAATGATATTCTGAGTGTCTTTATATAAATTTCTTAAACACAGTAATTCATTGATAGTGGCGGCGTTACATCGGGTTGAAAATTCTCATCACATTTTATGTAAACGTTGAATTACTAAAATCAGTTAGAGATCATCTAGAACCAAGGAGCTCTGGACAGCTGTCTTTCCCAGTGTTTAACTCCTCACCATCTCATACCCACAACACCATCAGGGATTGAACCTGGGACCTACAAGTTACAAAACCAAGCCCATTGAACCACGTGGGCTGGTATTTAGTTCCTGACGTAATCTACTACTGAGATTAATTCCTACAAAAACCTATCATCAATATAAAAAAGCAGTTTTTCCCATTGAATCTCTTTTCACTAGGTCTTTAATTCTGTTGAATTGGGCAAGAAAAAAAAAGGCTACTTATATATTCAGGCAACTTTTAAGTGAAGTTAAAGATTTCATCAAGTTTAGCAATGAATTGTCCATGACCAGATATGACCAATCAAAGTTGAAGAAGTAACTCTAAACAGTTTTCAAATATCTTTTGTGGTCAGAAGTTGTTGGTTCAATAAATTGTGCAATACACACAACACTATTATCACATATCGTGCGTCGGTGGCACGGTGGTTAGGACTCTCGCCTACCATGCACATGAATAAAAAATATACACATATCACTAAGAAAGAATTGCTCTGTATCCGACTTGTCCTATTTCCTTCTAGTTACGTTACTGTCTATTCTTCATGATTGTAACTCATAATTTTTTCCCTTACTGACGTGATGTATTGAAAAAAAAGTTAATTTTCTGAAATGACACAAGTGCGTGCAAAAAAAAATTGTTTAAGACAATGCGCTAGTGCTTTAAATATTTGATTTACTGATAGCTAAATACAGATCCGATGATAAAGTGCGCATATATGTATATTTGAAGCTGTAGAGGCATGCAGTTTAACAAGTTGAGTTGTGTGTATTTGTGGAATGTGGTCTCCTGAACAGTACTATTATTATTATCATTATTTTATGCTCTAAAGCGTAAGAAATGTGCTTCTGATTTTCAATCAATATAATTGAACTGATCTCTAAGCTATAATTCGTAGGTATTAGTGAACATGTGAGATATGGATTAATTTCATGCTTAGTGTAAGAGTAACTCTGATAAGTCATGTGAGTGCTTATGCAATTGGCAATAAGCCAAATGTATTGTGTGATATAAGTGGATTTTTTTTTTATTTTTTTTGTATACTTGAGATGAACCCTTGAATTAAAATATGCAGAATTTTTTTCTTCCTTTTGAATAAGAAGACTTCTTGCTTTGATGATGATGACGATGCAGGGAATACGCTGCACTAACTTCACTTGCAAAAGTGGCATTTCTATCTGTGAATCAATTGTTTAAAGCTGAGCATCTTGACCGATGAGCTACTCTAGCTGAATTTCAGGAAACGATTCATTCCATGCATATATAAGTATTATTGTCAGAAATAAGCATAGTGAGATAATACATAGTTAGTTGGTGGACGGTGACTAGCAGTGGAATCCAGGATATCCATTTTGTCCCATTCGGTACTCGGCATATCATGGAAGTACCTGCATTCCCCCGTAAGTGATGTTCCCACCAGGATTGGAACCCATTGACCATAGTTTCAAACGCCAAAGCATCATCCAATAGACCATTCGGGCCACGGGGCCACCTCTTGTGCGACGAGTCATATTTATTGTTTAATTCAGTTTTAGATTTTCCCATAGATTAATTGGACCAAAGTGCTCGATCTATTGGATAACGCTTAGGCGTTTGAAACTATAGGCAGTGGTTTCCAGCCACGGTGAAACATCATCATTCACTGGGGAATACAGGTACTTCCATATGACGGGTCTCTAATAGGACGAAATGCCCATACTGGATTCCACTGCTAGTCATCATCCACCAATTAACTTCTAATTACATGCCCAGATATCGTCTAAGCATCTGCACAAGAAGCCGACATGTCAAGTGGAGACCGACGACTTCGGTTCAATTAATCGATGGGAAAATCTAAAACTGAATTAAACAATAAATATGACTCGTCGCACAAGAGGTGGCTCCCGTGGCCCGAATGGTCTATTGGATGATGCTTTGGCGTTTGAAACTATGGTCAATGGGTTCCAATCCTGGTGGGAACATTACTCACGGGGGGATTGCAGGTACGTCCATAGTATGACGAATACCGAATAGGACGAAATCCCCATCCTGGATTCCATCCACTGCTAGTCACTATCCACCAACTAACTGTGTATTATCTCACTATGCTTATTCCCGACAATAATACTTCTTTTTTCACATGCAAATCGATGTACAGACTGATTAATCTAGTATAATCCAAATTTTGTTTTACATTCTTATTTGTTAATTGCCAATATGGAAATTTTAATTTAAGACAGCAGTTCCAGTGGTGCTGGAAATAATCTTTGCTCGTGAATATCAAAAGATAAGGCATCCCACTAACTATATATAATCATGTCATCTCCGACACACTTCTTTGACTTATTGAATCAATCAGCTCTATAACGATATTATTACAACGTTTGAGTAGCTTGAAAATCCCCATTGACTCATGTGAAAAAGAGAAGACGTTCAGCGAAGAAACTCTTTTTGGCGAATTCATTCACATAGCTGTACAATCGCATTTATTTATAATTATTCTTGTGTGTATATGAGGTTTGT